GTAAATTAACTTGTCTACAAACATAATTAAGAGGGCAAAAATTAAATGAAGCCATAGATAGTTTGCAGTGGTCTATCATGACCCCAACATATGACAATATAGCTGACGAGCTGTGGTGCAAAGTGCTCTGCAATTCTGAACAATCCGTGAGAAAATCCACCATCATGACATTGCTTCCCTTCAACCAGGACAAGGCTTCCTTACAAGTCGCCGCTTCCGCCATAAGAGGTGAGAAGCAGACATGCAGCTTTCCACTTGTTGCTGCGATAAAAGATCCATCCGTGGCTAGGAGGACGCTCCATACGTTGATTCACCGGAAGCTGGTTTGTAGTCGGCGTCGACATAGCAGCGCGGCCGTGCATAGAGTGCAGGGGAGGGCGCGACTGGCTGCTCGTGGCTCTGGTTTCGCGGTCGGGTCTGGCCGAATGCATGCATGGATGCCACGGCCTGTCGTCGGAAAACGTTGGGGTGCAATAACGATCCATCCCATATCGCCGCATTTCGGCTCCTTCAAAGATGGTATAGCATGGCTACCATCAAACCAATCTGCTCCTCGGTTAATACTGCCAACACACCCATAAGCCATGAGGGAAAAGAATCCTCTACAATATTCATGATAGCTAAGTGTGCAACATCCCAAACAAGTCTAGAATAATTGCAAAGTAAAGCATGCATAACATTTTCATGAGCCAAGCCACACATTTGGCATGTAGGATCTACTTCTACCCTCCTTACAATTAAGTTATTGGCAGTAGGGAGGATATCACAAACTGCCATCCATAAAAAAGTTTTCCACTTGGGAGGAACCTTTAACTTCCATATAGTTGCCCATTTATCAAAAGCACCCGGGGCATGCACATAATCACCAACAAGTTTTCTATAGGCATTCTTTACCGAATATATTCCCTTAGGGTCGCCAAGCCAATACCATGAGTCCTCATAATCCGGGCTTACAGGGAGTCTAGATATTCTGGTCACATCCTCTGGGATAAATAAATCAGAAAGGATATGTGGATCCCAAGTATTAGTCTGCTGATCAATTAATCCAACTACCAAAGCATCCCTGAGTTCCATGGCATTTCTGTCTGGACCAAAGGACTGGGATTATCAGGTAACCACGGATATCCCCAAATTAGAGTTGCTTTACCATTACCTATTCTTCGTCTCACGCCAGCAACTACAGTATCATGCGCAACTATAATACTCCTCCAGCAATAACTTGGGCAATTACCTATGGTTGCATCCACAAAAGAGGTATTAGGATAATACCGTGCCTTATAAACCTTTGCAACCAGAGAATTGGGATTTGTGAGGAAACGCCAACCCTGCTTTCCCAGCATTGCCAAATTAAAATTCTGAAGGTCGTCCTTAAAACTCAATCCACCATATTTCTTAGGAATACATACTTTATCCCAAGCCTTCTAGTGAATTTTCCTCTCTGTTCCACTCCCACACCAATACCTGTTCATGGTCATCTCAATAGACAGGCAAACAGAGTCAGGCAGTAAGAAAATACCCATCGTAAAGGTAGGCATAGATTGAGCCACACTTTTTAATAAAACCTCTTTACCAGCCTAGAGAGCAGCTTCTTGTTCCATGCCCCAATCATCTGCCTGATTTTATCCTCCACATAAGAAAAGACTGCACTTTTATTCCTACCCACAAACGAAGGAAGACCAAGATATTTTCCAAAGTTGGGGGCTTGTTCCACCTGCAAACAACTCGCCAAAGCCTGTCTATCCGCCGCCTGTGTATTTCTGCTAAAATAGATATTAGATTTATAAAAATTAACCATATGACCAGACAAATTCTCATAGCGTTTCAGGCATTGCTTAACCACAGTGGCCTCCTGGACATTCGCCTTGAAGAACAATAGACTGTCATCCGCGAAAAACAAGTGTGAGATAGGGGGCTCCCCTAGCCACCCTGCACCCATGTATAGAACCTGCCATCTGTGTTTTCCATGGGGCACCCACAAACCTGTCATCCACCTTAATGAACGAACCTAAGGTGTTTCCAATCTGCTCCAATATTTTGTCCGACGTATATCCCATCGACAAGTTGTGAACTTGTACCCACATGTCAAGAGTATCCAAACTTACATTGCCCGGCAACATCCCGTCCGTAAGCTGTTGGCAAACCAGTTGCCGTACGCCCACGGACCCTCCTCCATCACACGTTCTATGTCAATTCTATGGTGAAAAACATACATAAAAAGCCGGGGTTGTACTTCTGTAACCTGCATGCCCTTGACCGATTGCCAAACTGATGTCAAAACCTGGCTCATGAACTCAATCTTCACCATCTTACGTGTCAAAAAACGGCCAACAAGCCGCCAAGTCTCCTCACTGCCGGTTGCGTCCGCCCCTAAATCATCCAGCACTGGCTCGAAAGTGAAGCCGTCCTCCTCCATCGCCATATCTGCCCAGCGCTCCGTTATGGCCACAACACTAGCTTCCGCCGGCGTCGTCGACATCAGGTAAGTCGGAGAAGCTTAGAGTTCGACGCTGCCGCACTGTTGCGTTGGTTACCGGTGATCGACCGTAGAAAAACCAGAGAGACGGGAGGGAACCCTAGAAACCCTAGAGAGAGAATTTTCTTCTGTCAGCCGTTTCCTTGTCAGCCTATAATAACACGTAATGTTTTAAACAAAAACCGAGTAGTCATATTCTTCTCCCAAAAAGGTCGAATCCCCAACTCTAAGGGCATCTCACACCCCTACCCGACGGAGCATTTGGGAGGATGTAAATCATAGGTGCACAAGGGATCTGCTCACTTTAGGCATAACCCCCACACTGCTGCCACTGAGGTTCGAATCCGGCATACTGAACCATTGAGCTAAGCCCGTGCAGGCAACGTAGTGCTAGTAGTGATATTTTTTTTCAATAATATGATTACTATGTTATAATAAATGTGTGAATTGTCAGATCAAACGTTTATCACTACGCCAAAGGTTATAACTAATAGTGAAGATGTATCTTTATTTCTTTATACATGTGTAAGAATCAACACCACATTTTGATGGCATGATGCTAGACTTAATTAGTCCTCTAAACCTCCGCCCAACACTTATAAAAGGTCAAAATTAAACTATTAGACAAAAAAATCTATCATATCGTTTGCAAGACGGGGCCTAAAGAATACGACCACTAAATACACATTGCTTTCAATCCCTCATAGGTAATAAATGATTCAAAAGTCTTTGGTCTCCAAACTCCCCTTATAAATCTTTGGTGAATTGCAGTCTATGAAGAAAGCTGCATTAAGCTGACTTTAATTTGTTTAATGATTTAATAGTTAAATAGTTAACGACTATAAAGATTAGTATTTTTTTATTAGGCGGAGGAAGTGAATATATATGAGGTGATTTTAACAAAGAAAAACAACATTTTGTTCAACTACTAATCTTTGTGTGTGTATATACATATATATAAGTACAAAAAGAAAAAAAAAACAGAAAAAAAAAACAAATAACAAAAAACAAAAAAAAAAACAAATAACCAAAAAAAAAAAAAAACGAAAATAACCTTGCCTACAAAAGGAAATCCCCCACCCATGAGCCCAACACCCAAAACCGACAAAATGGTAAATTATGGTCACTGAATAGTCTCTCACACTGCTGGAAATTTGCCATTTTCCAACCACCAAAAAGTGGTCGGAAATGGCCTTAAATAGGTCGGAAACACCTGTTCCGACCTCTTTTCCGACCAATTTGGGTGTCCGGAAAAATTCCCCACGCTATCTTCGACAAACAGAGAGAGTGGTCGGAAAGAGTAACCACTTTTTTGAAACCGTCGGAAAAAAAGGCCAAGATATTAGTTAGGTGGGTTCAGATTTTCCGACCATTGGGGGTCGGAAATTTCGACCACTTTGGTGGTCGGAAAACTGGACGCAATCAATAAAAAAAATTCATTTCACTACAGAGGATTCCTCTGTAATGAAATATATATATATATATATATATATATATATATATATATATATATATATATATATATATATATATATACATATATATATATATTTGCTGAAAAACATATACAAATTTCATACACTTGAACACAATTCTTTCATGAATATTTTAGATGATAGCCTTTTCCAATGTAACTTTTTGCTATATATTTTCTTTACAGTTTATATTCAAAATAAACAAAAGCTATAATAGGTTCTTGAACTAAATGCAAATAAGGTAAATATCGCGCTCAATATAGGAACCATAGGTACAGCATCACCAACACGTATTCTTGTTCTTAACAATCTTGTGTATCCACCAGCTCTATCTCTGCAAGTTGAAGAAAATAATGATAGGATTTAATTACCAAAAGCATAAATTCCCTTCAAATAATTATATTAGTAAACTGAAAAGAAAGGAAAAATTAAATTATTCTTTCATTTTTTTCTTTAAAAAAGCATAGAAACACCATACTCTGGATGGTAGTCAATTTGGCGTTTTATTTATGTCCAAAAGGAAAGTACATGGGAGGAGGGGGACAGAACACCTTACCTTGTTTTATGTTACAGAGTACTATTTATTTTTGTCTTCCATTTAAAGATAGGTAAATAAATAACAATGAAGGGAAATGCTCAAGTTAAACCTGAAAACCTATGCACTAAAGCTGAACCAATATAAAGGTAACTGATGAGATGTAGATTAACAAGTATAATAGGAAAATTACCATTTGGTGCAACCGGAGAAGTTGTTCGGAGATATCCAGAATGAACCATGTAACATAACCACAAATTACCACATTAGCATTCGGTAAATAGCTTCACGTCTTAAACAAGAGTGAAATTGGTATCCTGAACAATAACTGACCTTGGACAGAAAAATCCTTGAGACCAATGTGGCAGAGATTGTATACATTTTGGATAACTTTAGCCTTCTGTAACTTCTGACCAAGTGAAGAAGTACAATCCAAAGCTTGCAAGTTAGTTATAAAGCTTTGCCTTTGTAAGTGAGACACATAGCTCCCCAGGGAGCAGAGTGCATCTTACCTTGCCATGAACAAGAATGTGCCCATAATGTAATCCAACAACGCATGCTATGGCAGCCATTAAACAACTGAAAATTTTCAATTAAAATGAATAAGTGGAAAACATTTGGATTAAGAAGGGAGAAAAACGAAAAAGGAGCACTCAAAGTTGAACTACCAACTTGCAACAAATTAGAAGTGATATCAAGAATTAAGAATGTTTATAATCTGACATTTTTTACATGATTTTGGTAGAAAAATGACATATCTATGTACTTAACCAAAACGTGTAGGATGACTAACCTTGTGGAGACATTAAACCGTGCTAGAAATTAGCACCAATGTGATGTATAAAATAAAGCATTGGTTGAGAAGATCTTGAATTCTCATTGCATGTCTAAATGGATAAAAAATTACTGTAAAATTTGCTAAACTAATCTACTATTATGCTTCATCAAAAGTAAGGACAACGACAATCACTTCAGTGTTATTATTGAAGAGTGAATCACAAAATTTTGAGCACCTTATATGTTTATTTATTAAAAAAAAAGTAAAAAACAATAACAACAAGAACAACATGACCAGTCTGCATTAACAGCAAATCTATATTCATATATAATATCTTGGATGCGTATTATTCCACTAGAGATGTAGCAATAGATTAGAAAGTGGTGCATGGTTAGTAATCATCATTCAGAACATAATAGTTACCTCATAAGAAGGCACCAGATTTACGATGTTGCGGATTACAAATGCTTCTCATGTTGAAATCCCAAGACAACTGAGGGACAAACCCGAAAGTTCCGAAAATGAGCAAATGCAGAACATATACCTTTGGTTCTTAAGCATTTGCAAGATCCTTAAAGTATTCCATATTGGCCCTAGTTCAAGAAAAGAAGCAACCAATCAGATTGGGCCACCCCTAACTCGTAAACATAATGAAAGTACATCCCTGAACTTACTAAATCTGCTGGTGACAGATCAGAGGTAATTAGCAGACTCTCAGCAGCAGCCTTGAATGCCGGTATTACACTTCAGTACTTCACAAATTTAAAATAATTTGTAAGTACCTCTACTTTGTCCCATGCTCCTTTTCTGACACCAGTTTTCAAGTTTGAAACAATAACAGAGCTAACTGTCGATGCATGCCCATTTGAGTAATCTGCAAATTCAAATTAGATTTTTTAAAACAAGAAAGCTCATTATCATTCAATTTATCACTTCATTAGATATCTACAATCCCCTAGAGCAAAAAATTTCAAGAAAAAAATAACAATAAACAGTTTCATAATAGTATCTCTATCAACAAACTACTGAATCACGAATTTAATTTTTTACCAAAAAATTATATATTATATATATATATAAAAAAACAGAATATCAAACAGAGTGGGAAGGTAAATTAATAACTACCATATGCATTGTTTGATGTTGCAGCAGCAACAGAAACAAGAGAGAATCAATTGATGTGTCAATAATCTGCACATTATTGAAAAAGATTATAGCTAGGCCAGCAAAACAAGATATAATGAGATGTAAGTGTGCTGCCACAGTTAACGAATAAGGAATATATATATATATATATATATATATATATATATATATATTATGAAATAAACAATCCCTCTGTTCCATTTAAATTGGCCCTATTTTCTATTTAGCCTCTCTCATGGCATATGAGAGTTATAGTGTTATAAATTGAGGAATTATTGATGTAATGCAACAAAAGCAGTGGGTATTGTACGCAGTATCTATCCAGGTCGTTGTTTGCCATCTCAGTTGTCTGTCAAAGAACATATAAGTTTGTTATACAACTACATACATATAATAATGAGACAAACAATGACTAACATGTTAAATACCTCACCTAAAATTTTAAAGATTTACCTTAATTAAGCTGGACTAGCTGATCAAAATAATGTTTGTCAACGTCCTTGTATTGTGCTTGTTTAAGACCATCTATTTTTGGAGTAAAAAACAGAGATAGAACCACATGATCTATTTAACTGCAAATAAAAGTAATACATTATTGTAACAAGAGTAAAAGAGCATGTTTACAGACCACAACTTTGATATGTGAATAGACAAGGTTAGTAAGACTAAATTCTTAGCAATAAACCAAGTTTTCAAAACTAAATCCTTCCAATAAAGCACATTCAACAGTTCACAGGACTAGAAACACCATATAACCATACCTCACAAAGATATCTAGCATATATTATAACATATAATACCACATATTTATACAGAAATGCAAACGATTCTTTAGGCATAAACTACATAAACATCTTATCTGTCAAAGTAAAATTCACTCCAGAAAAGTAAATACATAAAAATGTATGTATCAATAAAAATGTATAATCTTGCCTAGCTAGGAGAACCCTGAATGCCTATGTTTCTTCTGCTGCACATATAACCATTCAACTTAAAAACCAAAGCAAATCATATATACAAAAAACCTTTGAAACCAGAAAATCAACTATAAAACCCTAATAGCATATTCAATCCAAAATAAAACTATCTCCCAGCTTGCTAATCAGATTAGTAATCCTCATCGAAAATATCAAAAGCCAACATAACTATACTTCAAATAATCAGGGGAAAAAACTTTTAACAAATATATCATATTGCAGCAGGGGCAGACAAAACGAAAATAAGAGGAAAATGGTTTGACTTAGTAGAAGAGGGAGAAAATTACCGATTGCGATGGTCAGAGCTAGGAAATCAAAAAGCTGCACCGCGCCCCCTATATGATCTGTTCGGCGACGAAGGTAGACGAGTCTTAGGCGAATCCAACAGTGAAGCCTATGAGAGATGCACCGGCTGGATTGGCCGGAATGGCAGCATAATATAGATCTGGAAATGGGAAATACCTAGGAGGTACAAGGAGGTGTTGGCGGTAGCGAAGGGAGTGACAGCTGCGAAGGAAGTGAGTGTCTAAACAGCAAAGGGAGTGAGTGCTGAGAGCAGTGTATAAGCTGGGGTTGGTTTACATCATTTATTCATTTCTCTATATCTCTAATTTTTCTATTTCTAAAAAATGACAAGAGTTAAAATAATCATTGTCATTTAAAAAATACACAAAGACATCAAATTTTTGTAAATGTATTATGTATTCAATGTGTGTTTAAAGATAAAATACTAACAACAACGGATAAATAAATTGTTATTTTTTAAAAAAATCAAAGAAAGACAACGATTTTCGACAAAACTATATATTGTCTTTTGTATAAAAGATGTTGTAAAAAATCATTGTCTTTGTATATTTTTCTTGTTATGTACTATTAATAGATAGTTTTGAAGTATCTAATTTGCACAAAGGTATGTGAAATTGATTGTTTATATTGAATATTACGACATTTTAACATACTACCATTAAACTCTGTGTCGTGATCAATTGAAGAAATGCAAGTTAAAATCAAAACATAAAAAAAAAAAAAAAAGAGTATGCATAAAATAATTAATGATAAAATGATAAATTATGTGATCGTTATACCATGGGATGACATGAATGAAAAAAAAAAAAAAAAGAATTTCCGACCACGTTTGAAGATGGTCGGAAATAATAAATAAGATAAATTTTAAAAATTTAAACAACCAAAAGAAATTTCTGATCACCATTACTTTGTAGTCGTTTTTCCGACCACTAAGTAATGGTGGTCGGAAATTCCGACCTATTTCCGTCCACCATAATCTTTCGACGGAAAAGTGAAAAAAATTCATTTTTTTCGACCAATATTCTAGGTGGTCGGAAATGTGGTCAGAAAATGAAAGATTTCCAGCAGTGTCAAGTGAGAGGGCAAGCGCTTGTTGTTCACGAGGAGCCCACCAAATGGGGTGTTACTCACACATTGTGAGTGTCAAGTCTTGATCCTGTATTGGTTGCCTTCTGAGGCGAAGGAGAAAGTGGACCAGTTGGTACCTCCTTCAAACACGATTGGCGACCGTCCGGTCGTCAGTGATTATGTTACGTACTGAAATTTAGTACGCAACGAAAGAAACCTTTCGAGCAGGCTTCTGACTCCAATCCGTATTCGAGTTACGGTAACTCCAAAAGAAAAACAATATAACGAAAGAAAATGATGAAGAACTCTTCAATATAAATGATTTCTGCATGCCTTTAACATTACATAGAGTACCCTATATATACTATCTCACTTCCTATAATAATGTAATTATAATAATGAAATGACTAATTATTCTCCTAATTATCAATTACACATAAATGCTAATTATTATAATTACATATATAAGGTAATATACATTATTCTTGCTGTATTGATCATCACCAATCAATGGCGTATCACTCCTTGCCTCTTCGAAAATCACCTTGTCCTCAAGGTGGAAGTATAAGTGGTTCTTCTCTGGAGTTCTACCCAACACAAATATTCAACCCAAATTTTTGGTTGAAAATTGTTAGGAAGATTGTACATCAAGTACAAGGTTAGACTGAACCAACACCGTTGCAATATACAGACAAATGAGAATTCCTCATTGTGTAGCCCGGTAACAAAATCTATGGTATCTTGCAGTGTGTTCTCTGGGATATAAACTGTGTTTTCCATGAGGTAGTTTTCTTCGGTAGGAGAAACTAGTGGTACATTAATCTTTTCTGACACACTTTCATCCTCCTTATTAGGACTCAAACTTGTACAATTCTTCATAACTGTCATTGGTTCTTCAATTGTCAATGGAATACTAGGAAGGGGTGGTGGTGATATCAATGGTGGAAGCCTGTCGAAGATTTGTAAATTTTTGTCCATGCTTAACTCCGTGAGATCACTAACACTTTTATCATCAACCACATTCATTGACACCTCAAATTGTAGTTGATCTTTTGGCACTCCTTCATTGAGGATATCTACATGCTTTCTCGGGCCATCTAGTTGATGTTGATCTTTTTCCAATAATTGATGAAGATTGTTGTGAGAAGAATAATTGCTAGTGCAATGGTTAATCTCCTCAATTGATACAATCAAACTTTGCAATGTTTTATTAATGGTTTGGAGTTGGAGATTCAAATTATTGGTGTGGATAATTTGATTATGGACGAAAACTGAGAGATTTGTTACTAACCGATTTGTCATCGGTATGTAAAAAATCAATAAGTTGATTTCAAGAATTGTAATGAAAAAAAAAAAGATAATGATAAAGAAAAAATACGAATAAGAAAAAATTTTGTGTTTTTTTTTTGGATATGTGAATAAAAAAGAAAGGATCAAACAATGGAAGAAATGTAAATACTTGTTGCTTTTTTTTTTTTTTTTTTTTTTTTTTTTCCTTTCTGTCGTTTTTTTTTTTCAAATTTTTTTCTCCTTTTTTTTTTTTTTTTAATAATTTCTAAGGGATGCAACAAAACAAAAAAAAAATAAATAAATAAAAGATATGAGATACTCTCACCAATGGGATCAATGAAAGCACCAATTGTTACGTGATGCATCTACAAATCCTCTCAATGAAAGTACCAATGTTACGTACTGAAATTTAGTACGCAACGAAAGAAACCTTTCGAGCAGGCTTCTGGCTCCAATCCGTATTCGAGTTACGGTAACTCCAAAAGAAAAACAATATAACGAAAGAAAATGATGAAGAACTCTTCAATATAAATGATTTCTGCATGCCTTTAACATTACATAGAGTACCCTATATATACTATCTCACTTCCTATAATAATGTAATTATAATTATGAAATGACTAATTATTCTCCTAATTATCAATTACACATAAATGCTAATTATTATAATTACATATATAAGGTAATATACATTATTCTTGCTGCATTGATCATCACCAATCAATGGCGTATCAGATTATTGCCGAAAACTGTAAGAGAGGTCACTGGAACCCTAGTTAACCTATAATTAGAAGTTACCAACTAGTTTCTAGGCTTAAATGCTTCAAAATAACATGTTTATAGGTTTAATTGCAAATTTTGAAAGTTTAAGAGCATAATAAGTGACTTTTTTAGTAAAGTTCAGGCTCCTATTTGACCATTTTTCCAAAAATATTAACTCAATTTAATTAAAAGAAAATATGCACAATTAAGTAAAAATTATGTTGGACGAAGGTTTAAAAGGACACGTCCTACATCTTGCCATTGAAAATTGAAGTTGAATGCTATGTAAGTATAAAGAAATAAAGTCACATTTTCGTTATTAATTATAGCTTTTGAATTGGCATAAGGTTGGGTAAATGTTTGATCTTGAGAATTGGTGTCGAAACAATTGGGCAAACGCTTATTCCTGGCAATATATATATATATATATATATATATATATATATATATATATATATATATATATATATATATATATATAGCATGCCAATTGTGTGTGGCAAATTATAGTCCACACAGTGCTGTGTGAACCATAATAAAAAATATTTTTAATATACTAAAAGTATATTATTCTTATACTGAATGTACATTATACGAAATAATATATTTTCAGTACTCAAATAATGTATTTTCTTAAAATACAAAATACATTTTTAATATACTAAAAATGCATTAATTGTGTACTAAATTTATATTATTTGATAATATAGTCCACATAGCTGTGTGAATGATTGCATGTCATTTGGACCATGTGGTGACGCAATAGGTGATCATATTACAAGCCTACAATAATTGAAGTTGAATATTCTCACCCCTCCAATCTATAAATAGTGAGCAAGCCTTCACTCTGATCACACACCAATTTAGCATTTCACTTACAAATATGGATTGCCTCATCACCACTCTTCCATTGCTCCTCCTCCTCAGCCTCTTCGCATCTAGCTCCGCCGTCAACTTTGAAGTTCAAAACAACTGCCCCTACACCGTTTGGGCGGCCGCAACCCCAGTTGGCGGCGGCCAGCAGCTCAACCAAGGCCAAAGCTGGAACATCAACGTGCCACGCGGCACAGCCATGGCACGTATATGGGGTCGCAAAAACTGCAACTTTGATGGTAGCGGAAGGGGTGGGTGCGAGACCGGCGACTGCGGTGGGGTGTTACAGTGCACCGGGTGGGGCAAAGCGCCGAACACCCTGGCTGAATTCTCCCTAAACCAATTCAACAACCACGACTTCTTCGACATCTCCAACATCGACTGTTTCAACATCCCCATGAGCTTTGGCCCCACCAGACCCGGTGCCGATAAATGCCACCCAGTCTCATGCACGGCGGATATCGTCGGTGAATGCCTTGCCCCTCTCAGGGTTGCCGGAGGGTGTAACAACGCTTGCCCCACCTTTGGAAGTGTTAGAAAATAATAAATTTTGTGGCTCAAACCTGTGGAGACCACTTCCATCCACGTCGCTATGCATGTCTTCACTTCTTGCACGTCATATTGCATGCCATCACCGATTGTTGCGGAGCTTCACGCAAATGCCGCATAGCTCTCTCACTTTTAATTGTATAAATAGTTGTTTAACTTTTGTAATTCATGCAACATCAATTCATTCATTCTTTCTTCTTTATCATACGTAGAGTATATATATATTCCTTTGTTTTCTCTTTATAAGAGATTAATATATATATATTTATATTTTCCCACTTTATTAATTTATTTTGTCATTTATTATATTCTCCCCTATTATTTAACTTCTATAATTCTCAATTTTTGATTCTTCGCTTCCGCATTATTCCGCTATATTCCTAACAAGTGGTATCAGAGCGGTTTATTTGAGAATTATTTTCAAAGATGTCGACTGTCACTAAGTTCGATATCGAGAAGTTCGACGGGAAAATTAGCTTCTCTATCTGGAAGGTTCAGATGGAAGCCGTTCTAACCCAGAACGGTTTGAAGAAAGCGCTAGCTGGGAAGAAGAAGAAATCGGCTGCAATGACAGATGAAGATTGGGAAGATTTGGATGACAAGGCACGTTCAACCATTCAATTGTGCCTGTCTAAAGAGGTTCTACGTGAGGTAGTAAGTGAGACGACTGCGTCAGATTTATGGTCCAAGCTGGATACGCTTTATATGGCCAAAACTCTGGCGAACACGCTGCGTTTGAAGGAGCGTCTGTACACAATCCGTATGACGGAAGGTACTTCTATTAAATCTCACTTGGATGAATTCAATTCTATTTTATTGGACTTGGAAAATATTGATGTTATAATTGAAGATGAGGATCGCGCTGTTTTATTGCTTGTCTCTCTCCCTAGATCATACACGCATTTCAAAGAAATTATGCTGTATGGTAATAGTAGTGATACCCTTACTTTCGACAGTGTTAAGTCAAACCTATTGTCCAAAGAAAAGTTTGACTTTGAAATTAAGTCTGAGGACAAAGGTGAAGGCTTGACTGTAAGGGGTCGTTCACTTGAATCAGGGAGTAGCAATAAAAATTCTAGATCCAAGTCCAAAGGACATAAGTCCAACAAATCCTGTAAGTACTGCAAGAAGCATGGTCATGATGTGACTGAATGCTTCAAGTTGAAAAACAAGCAAGAGAGAGAAAAGAAGTCCGCTGAAGCTAGTGTTGTTGAAAGTGATTCAGATGGTGATGTGTTGTTATCTGTTAGCTCCGGTGAGAAACGGAGTGAAAGCGAGTGGATTCTGGACTCTGGTTGTACATTCCACATGTGTCCCCACAAAGATTGGTTCACTTCTCTAGAACCGGTTGATGGTGGAGTTGTCTTGATGGGTAATGATACCCAATGCAAGGTTAGTGGAATTGGAAGTGTTCAGATTAAAACTCATGATAATGTTGTCAGGACTCTTACCAATGTTCGGTATATTCCTGATTTGAAACGCAATCTGATATCCTTGGGCACCTTGGAATCTCTGGGGTGCAAGTACATAGCTGAAGGTGAAGTTCTGAAAATCATAAAAGGCTCTCTTGTTCTCATGAAAGCTTCTCGTTCTGGAAGCTTGTACGTGTTGCATGGCAGTACTGTGACAGGTTCAGTAGCGGTATCCTCATCGATGTCTGATGCGGATCTCACTCAATTATGGCATATGCGTCTGGGACATATGAGTGAGAAAGGCATGCATCTCCTGAGCAAGAAAGGCTTCCTTGGTGGTTCAGGTACGGGTAAATTACAATTTTGTGAGCATTGTATTTTTGGGAAACAAAAGAGGGTTAGTTTCTCTACTGCTACACACCGTACCAAAGATGTATTGGAATATATACATTCCGATTTATGGGGACCGACTAAATTCCAGTCTATGGGAGGCTGTAGATATTTTATGTCTATTATTGATGACTTTTCTCGTAAAGTCTGGGTCTATTTCCTGAAACATAAAAATCAGGCATTTTCTATTTTCAAGACGTGGAAAATACTCGTTGAGACTCAGACAGGCAAAAAGGTCAAGAAGCTCAGGACAGACAATGGCTTGGAGTTCTGTGAGTCAGATTTCAATGACTTTTGTGCAGCAAATGGAATCGCCAGGCACAAGACCTTGCCTGGTAAACCCCAGCAGAATGGTGTTGCCGAACGTTTGAACAGGACTCTATTGGAAAGAGCTCGTTGTATGCTCTCTAATGCTGGGTTATGGAAACGGCGTGATTTTTGGGCCGAGGCCGTTTCTACTGCTTGCTATTTGGTAAATAGATCTCCACACTCATCCCTTGATTTCAAAATTCCAGAAGAAGTTTGGTCAGGTAATCCTGTTGACTACTCTATCTTAAGAGTTTTTGGATGTCCTGCTCATGCTCATTCCAGTACGGGTAAATTAAACCAGAGAGCTGTCAAATGCATTTTCCTTGGTTATGCTTCTGAGTCAAAAGGGTATCGTCTATGGTCTCCTGATTCTCGGAAAATCATTCTGAGTCGAGATATCACTTTTGATGAAAATGCACTACTTTCTTCTGGAAAAGTTCCCAGTACAGGTGAGACACAGAGTACTGGTGAGAAGGTGGAGTTTGAATTCAGGCCTATTGATAGTGTTACTACTGCTGACGGTAATACTAAAGATGATGCATCTACTAGCACAACACCTCTCGTCGAGCCACTACGAGAGTATTCCATTGCTATGGATCGGCCTAGGAGGACAATCAAGAAACCTGCTAGGTATGCTAGTGATGATGAAACCAACATGGTTGCTTATGCTCTTTCAGTCGCATAGGAAGTTGATGGTGATCCATCCTGCTATTCTGAAGCTTTTCCTATTATTAAGTTCAAGCAATGCTTGAGCTTAGTCGGCTGTTCCAGTTGTTAATTTCCACAATGGATTTGATCCAAGGTGGAGATTGTTAGAAAATAATAAATTTTATGGCTCAAACCTATGGAGACCACTTCCATCCACGTCGCTATGCATGTCTTCACTTCTTGCACGTCATATTGCATGCCATCACCGATTGTTGCGGAGCTTCACGCAAATGCCGCATAGCTCTCTCACTTTTAATTGTATAAATAGTTGTTTAACTTTTGTAATTCATGCAACATCAATTCATTCATTCTTTCTTCTTTATCATACGTAGAGTATATATATATTCCTTTGTTTTCTCTTTATAAGAGATTAATATATATATATTTATATTTTCCCACTTTATTAATTTATTTTGTCATTTATTATATTCTCCCCTATTATTTAACTTCTATAATTCTCAATTTTTGATTCTTCGCTTCCGCATTATTCCGCTATATTCCTAACAGGAAGCCCAGAATTTTGTTGCCGCCCCAATAATGTACCATGTAATCCTACAGATTATTCAAGGTTTTTCAAGACCAGATGCCCTGATGCTTATAGTTATCCTAAGGATGATGAAACCAGCCTTATGTCTTGCCCTGGAGACACCACTGATTATAGGGTTGTCTTCTGCCCATAATCAAATTAATCAACTACGGATTTGTGGAAGTATTAATGCCTTAGCTTATAATGTTAAGCATAAAGGCTTTAAATAAATCTTATGAATAAGTCTGTATCATATATATATTTTGTAATACATCTTCCACTTTTTATAATATATTTCTCAATGGATGTTTTTATTTGTCTTATTAAGTTTAGTTTGTTGTTATATCAAGCTTTCTTTAAAAAAAAATAAAAAAATTAAACTAGGTTTATCAACATTGAATACTAGTTTATAGCATGTAACATATATTTTAATTAAAATATGGAAAATAAAATAAAATGTAACTTGAACGATTCTATATATAATTTGGAGATCGAGTCTGACTACAAATTTTACCCTTACAAAATAAATAAATAAGTTTGTAAAAAATTGAATCATCAATTTAAAAAAGGAATAAGGTTCAAATTGGCCACTGAACGTAACCTGAAAATGCAATTAGGCCACTGAACGAACAAAAAGTGCAATTAGGCCACTGAACACTCCAAAAACGTGCAATTAGACCACTGAACTCTCCAAACGTATGCAATTTCACCGGATAGCAGGTTACCATCAATTTTAGCAGGTTACCTGCTTACGTGGCAGCTGAGTTAGCATTTTTAATAATTTTTAAATAATTTTTAATAATTAATTTTAATAATAAATTTTATAAAAAATTGAAAAAAATTAAATAAAAAAATAAAATAAAGTCATTTTTATTTTTTTAAAATTTTTTAAAATAAAAATTTAAATAAAAAAATAAAATAAAGTCATTTTTATTTTTTTAAAATTTTTTAAAATAAAAATTTATTATTAAAATTTATTAAAAATGATTTAAAATTTATTAAAAATGCCAACTCAGCTGCCACGTAAGCAGATAACCTACTAAATTTGAGGGTAACCTGCTATCAGGTGAAATTGCACATTTTTAGAGTGTTCAGTGGCCTAATTGCACTTTGTTTTCGTTCAGTGGCCTAATTGCATTTTCAAGTTACGTTCAGTGGCCAATTTGAACCTTATTCCTTTAAAAATTGTCTAATATTAATTTGTATAAGATATTATCTAAAGAAGCAACAATGGACGTTTCATCTAAGTACATAAAAATAATATTGTAGATAAATAAAAATAATACTGGTACATAAAAATGACATCAATAATAGTGAATATATGTACCTACAATAATGAATAATTTATGTACCTAAAGTAGTAAAAGTAGTAATATTATGTACATATAGATTCATTTTTAAAAAATTTTAAAGAAAAATATCTATATGAGTGTCATTTAACAATCTTAATTATAGTTTTTAATGATATATTTGTATTCATTAATTTTAAATATTTAAAAATTAAATTAAATATGTAAAAGTAAAAACAACAAATATTCCAAATTGAAAAGTCTTTGGTCTCCTAAGAAATCATCAGTATACAAGTCAATTTAGATCCCCCCTCCCCACCACAAACACACACACACAAATCTATTATTACTTTTAGAATTTTTACACATTATTATAATTATTGTAAAACATTTTAAATTTATTACCGATATATTCTACTTTTGTTAAAGAAAAATTCTTCTTTTCGTACATTTTTTACCATCTAGTATCCCTCCCTAACATTGCAAATATAAAGGGTCCATTAAATGAAGAAAAAGAACGGTTAATAGTTGACGTATTTTCCTTCCTAAAAAACATGATTTGGTATTTTTCAAATCAGATGATAAAGAAAATGTGGTGAAAGTAAATGGGAATCTAACAAGATTCGTTTCAAAATTCTGTCTTACCCATATTCTTCTATATATTAAAGCCATATAATCATGGCCAATCAAATTTCTCTATTTTCCCGTCCATTTAAAGTGACATCGTTTAGGTCATTACAATACTGCGCTCAAATCCTTCTATATATTAAAGCCATATAGCCATGACCAATCAAATTGTTGCATTTTCCTGCCCATATAAAACTACGTAATTTTGAACATTAGGATGTTAAACTTCAGTTTTTTTTTTTTTTTTCATTTATTTCGTGGCTTTTTTCCTGATTTGCTTGACAAAAAAATAATTATTTAAACTTCAATTTTCAAATCTAATTTAGTGTTTCAAGAAAAGTAAGTTATCATAAATAAAAAGTTTCAGCATTACAATTTCCAAAGTAAGTTATCTTAGAGCATCCACATTAGTTGAGAAGAATGTGGGGATAATGTAAGAGTGATTAGGAAAGAGAAGGTGGGAGAGGAGAGAAAAAATAAATAAAATAAAACAAAACAGAATAAAAAAAAAAAAAAAAAAAAAAAAAAAAGAAGTTAAGTCAGGCGCGCCAGTCGCGCTGACTGCACGCGCCAGGTTATGGCCACGCAGCGTTTCTTTCTTTCACTTTTTCTTTTCCTTTATTTTCTGACATTATTTTGTAATTTGCAGGATGATTATTTCATCTAATAACTCCATCCCACACTAGTGAATAACTCAATCCAAGTTATTTCTTTTGAAATAACTCCACAATCTCCCCTTAGTGTGGATGCTCTAAATAAAAAGTTTCAGCCTTACAATTTCCAAAGTAAAAAGCAAAAGGTTTTGTCATAAATAGTCATGAGCCTGTTAGAATTCCGATGAATAATCAATAATAGCAATTCTCAATGTCAGCTATAAAGAGAACAACCACTCAGACAGTTCTAATCAAATAGAAGCAATAATCAGCCCAAATTCTACTTCAACAGTTCAAGAGATGAAGAAATTGACAAAGTAAGCGAAAATCTTAGGATGAAAACAAAGGTAAATACAATTTTACTTCTTTATTCAGTATTCTGTAGACATTACTATATACGAAATCTACTTATTTGAACAATCTTTCTTCAAACGCCTTTTTAAGCTTCTCATTTTGCAAAATGTCAAAACAAAACAGGAAGGAAATAGTTAAGAAGCATTTGTGGTAAAGAGAAGAAAGAAAAAACTCATCGATCTACAATAATCAAGAAAAATAATCATAGAACAAGTACGCTGTCGTGAAATAAAATAAGCTACCAACGCATGCATTTCACAATTTAAAGTAAAAAAAAAAATCTTAGACTGACGATTAAGTGAACCTATTGCTCAAGATCGTTTAAGATATTCATAGATAATGCCTTCTCAGACTTTGAGTTCAAAAAATTCATACAGATAAATCTACAATTTTTTTTGGCTAAATTAAACGAATTAAATACATTTGATAGATAGATTATACTTACAACGATGATGGTCCCAGCTTTCGTCTTTCACTGTTAGTTTAGATTTACAGTAGTATGATTGTCAAATTTGTGATGTATTGAGAGTGGCTAAGCAATATTCAACCATCTGAGAGATAAAGAGAGACAGAGAGAAAGAGCAAGGATGAAGATAAGAAATGAGTAGAAGAGGATTGAGGCGTGATGGGCGAGACTGCGACAAGGTGGGGATAAGCTTCCAGATCCTTCATTATGCTGCGAGAATGAGTAGAAGAGGATTCCTCTATTTTTAAATTTTATTTTATAATATATATTCATTATGCTTCTTAGATAGGTTACACGTACACACACATCATATCATTGCATATTTTTATATATTATATATATATGATGGATTTAATTAATCCGGGGTAGACCCGAATTACTAAACCCGATAGATAATGGATTGGGAAAGACGTTGAATGTGTGTCGCGGGGACACCTTTGTATTGATAGTGCTTTCGGGAGAATTACAAGGTAAATATGGTAATAATGATAGGAAGTAGATGTCCTAACAAGACAATGACACGCCCTTTTATACTGAATAGTTCTCCCAACCGACCTCCGAGAGAATAGGGCGGGCGGTTGGATCTTAGTTGACCGAGTCCCGCGGGGAGGCCCCGATGGGGTCCCCAACTGGGGTCCTCGCAGTAGTCCCTGCCCGAGGTCCCCGAAGTAGTCCTTGCCCGATGTCCACGCTGTAGTCCTCGCCCGAGGTCCACGTAGTAGTCCCCGCCCGAGGTCCACCTAAAGGTCCACGCCGGGGACCCCGTTGGGGTCCCCAAGGCCCCTCGTGTCACGCTGCCGCCCCGGGTCGGATTGTGCCCCGCATCCATTCTCCTAATATATCCATCATGAGTTCCCCACTCTCTGAGTTGCGAGTCGTCGTCAACGAAAGAGAGTAGTTCTAGCCGAAGGTTGACCCCGGGCTCGCGGAAGCACGTTCCTCGAGGCCCCGAGGATACCCACTCGCGAAGCACGTACCTACAGACCATGAGGACACCCCACGGAGGTCAGGACCTTGAGGACACCCCACGGAGGTCCCCAACCCCAATGAGCGCCGCCTTGGAAGCCCCCCACATCATGGCCTATGAACCATCCCTTTCTCACATGTCTTATCCATCACTTTTTCCCCTTTTCCCATGCTTGACTTTCTCTCTCCTTATCCCCTTTTCAAATTCAAAAATTCAAATCCCTTCAAATCCTCCCCCCAAATCCTTATCCAATATTTTCTCCCTACTTAAACCATTTCCTTTTCCCATTTCCTTCACATCTCTCACTCACAATCCTCTCATCCCCCCACTCTCATCTCGCCGGCCACCCCCACACTCACGGCTCCCGAACGACCAACGCCTTTCCCAACCGCACTCGGCAACGCGGAGGACGTCACCTCCCCGACCACCTCGATTACACCTCAAGGCCACGGCACCACCTCGACGTCCCCTTCGTTTTGTATGTCCTTCGACCTCGACGCCTTGCTTGACTCCATCGGCGACGATCCACTCTCCATGGACCTTGATGAAGATAGCTTCTTCGGCCACCCCCCATCGACTGCCGAAGCCCGCGCCGGCCTCGCCCACCCGGTTGAGGCCCAACCTCTGCAAGCCGTGCCGGCGTCCGTCGCTCCTTCAAACCGTAAGTTAATTCGTACCAAGCTTGACCCCACTATCCCCCTTTCTACTTATCCAAGCGTGACCGAGGACGATGTGGCCTTCGTGAGGGCCCACGTGGGGCCGGACGTGGAGGTCCGTGCGCTATTACCTCACGAGAATGTGACCGAACCCCCGGAGGGTCGGTTCTTCGGCGTCCACATCCTCTCCCTCATTTTGGGTTTGCGGTTTCCCCTCCACCCCTTCGTAGTTGAGGTGCTGAACTACCATGAGGTCGCCCCGGGTTAACTAGTCCCCCACTCACATTCCATACTAGTAGCTTTCCTTCTCCATTGCGAGGACGTCGGGGTTAGGCCCACACTTGACCTCTTCCACCATATCTTCCAAGCCGGCCACTCCTCGGGAATCAAGAGCAAGGGGTTCGTGTCCTTCTCGGCCCGCTCCAGTATGAAAATATTCAAGGACCCTAAGAGTAGAGAGTGGATAACAAAGTTCGTGTTTCTCTCTACCGGCCCCACGCTTCCTTTCAATGCCCCCGCGTGGAGTGCCTACTTCCTTAAGTGCCCCTCGCCCCCTACCACCGGTCCTTAGTTGCTAGTGCCCGGAGGTTCCTAGGCGATAAGGACGAGATTAGTGTGGGGACTCTGATGACCGCGGAGAGATTGGTGGCCTTGGGGTTCACGGGTGGGTCCTTCGCGCCTCGGGGCGCCTCGCAGTCCTCGGCCGAGGTCGTGGCCGAGGTGTCCTCCGAGCGTGTCGAGGTCCTCTCGGATGAGGCCGAGCCCGCGGGGGGTGGGGACGATTACGAGTCCGTCTTCTCCGCCACTGAGTCCGAGGTCGAGGCCATCCCGTCAGGTGCTGAGGTCGTTCCGCCCGAGGTCGACGTCGGCCCCCACCACGCCGAGCTAGGAGGTTGTCCCGCCTTTACTTTCTTTAAATACACGCGCTTCATTATGTTGTTGTCTCTTTTTTTGTGGGTGTTTGTTTGGGTATCCATTAATTGTAATAATCTTGACTTAACCGCAGGGGGTCCATCCACGATGGTTTCTCGCGGGGAGTTGATACGCCGTGCCGCCGCCGCCCGAGGCCCTGCATCCAAAAGACAGAGGCTCGCGCCGGGGGCCGCCTCTAACCGGGCTCCCTGTGCGCCACCCGCTGACACACGAGCCAGGGCTGCCCGGCCTTCCGCCAATGTCGGCGTCGTGGGGACCTCCGCTCCTCCACCTCCTGCCCCTCCGAGCGATCCGGCCTCGGTCTCTCTCGGCGAGGCGGCCCATCTCCGTGACACTATCTTAGGCATGCTCGGCCGTGGGGCAACGGAGTCTTTCCAGGCAGGCGGGTTGCCTTCACTTGTCCGTGATACCCTTGCGGTAATTCTTGCGCCTTATCTTCTAGGTGTTTGCCCGTGATATTGTCGTGTGTTTCTCACCCCCCTTTTTGCAGGCTTTTCTCCGGAGTTCTCTTGCACTCGAGGAGCTCGGGTTCGCGAGGGCGCAGGCACAAGAGGCCAACAAGCAGGTGGATGATTTGAAGAAGGCATTGGAGGCTAAGCAAGAGGAAAGTCGCAAGATGGCGCAAGACTCCGAGGCTCTGAAGAAGAGGCACTCGGAGGAGATCATCCATGCCGTCCGCAACTACAAGAGGTCCGAGGGCTTTCGCCGTGACTTGAAGGCCTACGCTGATGAGCATTTGGAGACCATGGTGACTACTTGGCTTGCCACGGGCCCCGGCCAGGCGAGGCTAGCAGAGGAGGGGGTGTTCTCTTATAACCTGGGTTATTACACCGCGCAGCGCGATGTCTATGAGGTTCTTCGTTAGCGGGATGAGGGATTTACTCCCGAGGCGTGGGGCTTACCAGCTGAGGTCGTGGACCCCGAGGCCGAGGAGCCTAGGTCGTACTCCCAGGAGCAGGCACGAACTGAGGTCGATGCCCCCCCGGACCCCGCGCAGACTTCTATGGCTGCCGAATCTTCTCAAGCAGGGGACCCCACGGCGGCCCCGGGGGCGGAGCGGTCGGAGGCTACTCATACGGAGGGTGCCCCTTAGTCGGGGTGTAGGTCCTTTATTTTGAGTTTTGCTATGTATTCTGAACTTTTTTGCTTTGGATCCGGGACCATCACTTTGTGGATTTTATATGCTTGCTTCGGATATATATATTGTCTTCGTCGTTTTTTTTTTTTTTTTTTTTTTTTTTAGGGGGACTCCGTTGAGAGTCCCCTCGTTCAAAACACCCTTCCTACAGGAGGTGCACGAGGCCGGGGCCCGTGCCCCCAGAGGGTAGCCTGTCAACTGGGCTCTTCCGTCGGGGTTAGTACGCGAGGTCGGGCCTCGTGACCCCTTAGGGCCGTCCGTCGGCCTCAAGTCACCGGACTTGGACTGTTGGACTCTTCCGTCGGGGTTAGTACGCGAGGTCAGGCCTCGTGACCCCTTAGGGCCGTCCGTGGGCCTCAAGTCACCGGACTTGGGCTGTTAGACTCTTCCGTCGGGGTTAGTACGCGAGGTCGGGCCTCGTGCCCCCTTAGGGCCGTCCGTCGGCCTCAAGTCACCGGACTTGGGCTGTTGGACTCTTTCGTCGGGGTTAGTACGCGAGGTCGGGCCTCGTGACCCCTTAGAATGGTTGGAGACGCCGGATGAGGACCTCCTCCCCGGATAGCGGAGCACATTCGTGGCGAAGTATTTATTGCATTTATTGATATGATCGAACAGGAAAAAAGGGGGGCTGGCCGCCTTACATGATAAAGGAATTATTGAAAATACTTGAGTAGGTGCTCGGAGTTCCAGACTCTATCTATCGCCTTGCCCTTTGGTGTCTTGAGCTTGTAGCTGCCGGGACGGACCACGGCTGTGACTACGTACGGGCCTTCCCATTTCTTGGCGAATTTGCCTCCCTCGAGGGGCTGACTTGCCTCGCGCCTCCTCAAGACGTAGTCCCCCACCTGGAAATAACGAGGCCTGACTCGTTTGTCATGATAGGTCTTGGCCTGGCGCTGGTAATTTTCGGCACGGACAGCCGCGGCTTCCCTCCTCTCGTCGATGAAGTGGAGCTCTATACTGTGGTTGTCCTCATTTTGGTCGGGGTCATACACCTGAGCTCGATAGGATGGTATGGCCACCTCGGCGGGGGCCCGAGCCTCGAAGCCGTAGGATAAGGAGAATGGGGTCTCCCCCGTGGCCCTCCTCGGGGTAGTGCGGTAGGTCCACAGGACGACGTCCAACTCCTCTACCCACGCGCCCTTCGCTGATTCGAGATTTTTTTGTAGACCATCTACAATGGTGCGGTTGACATTCTCGACTTGTCCGTTGGCCTGGGGGTAGGAGACAGCCACGCGGGTGTGCGTTATGTGCCACTGGGCGCAAAACTCACTAAACTTTTTGCTCTCGAACTGGCGACCGTTGTCTGTGATGATCTGTATTGGGACTCCGAAGCGACACAATGTATTCTTATATATGAACTGCTTGCACCTAGCACTCGTGATGCTGGCCAAGGGTTCGGCCTCCACCCATTTGGTGAAGTAGTCGACTGCCACTATCAGGTACTTCCTCTTTCCGGAGCCCAAGGGAGGGCCCCGACTAAGTCGACCCCCCACCTGGAGCCCATGGTGGCCGGTCGACCCGGGCCGTTCTGCCATTGTTGACAAGTTGGACAACTCCTCGCATAATTCGCGCACTCTTTCCCCATCTTGGGCCAGAAGTAACCTTGTAAGATAGCCCTCTGGGCCATGGTGTGGGGTCCCTGGTGGGCAGCGCAGGTACCCTCGTGGATGTCCTCCATGACCGACCTTGCTTCGTCGGGATACAAACAGCGCAGCAAGGTGCCATTGTAAGACCGCTTGTAGAGTATGTCCCCAACGAGCAGGTAGGTTGGGGCCCTCCTCTGTACACACTTGGCGTCCGCCTCGTCTGAGGGCAGGTTGCCCGTCTTCTTGTATTCCCTCAGGTGGTCTAACCAACAAGCAGGTCGGGCCTGCACGGGAAGGACCGGGTAGGCATCCAGGCTAGACTTCATTAGGTCCTCCACTCGGGCAATCCTGGAGACATGCTCGGGGACCCCGTGGCCGAGCTTGGAGAGCATGTCCGCATCTGCATTCTGCTCCCTCGGCACCTGTAGGACCTCGTGGTGTATCAGCTGTCCCAGGAGTTGCAATACCACATCTCGATACCTTCTCATCCTGTCTTCGTTGGCCTCGAACTCACCCGTAACCTGGCCTACCACCAGCCTGGAGTCACACCTCACTCTTAGCTTCTCGGCCTTCATGCTTAGTGCGAGCCGAAGACCCCCCAGAAGGGCCTCGTACTCGGCCTCGTTGTTCGACAATTTGAAGTGGAAACGGAGCACCTAGTAAGCCCTGAAGCCCTCGGGGGTTATGAGGACAACCCCGCCTCCGCAACCTTTGGCACTGGAGGACCCGTCTGTGGATAGGGTCCACCACTCTTCTTCCTCGTTCCGGGCCTGCTCCGAGGCATCCCGGGCGGTGCATTCTACTATGAAGTCGGCGAGTGTCTGCCCTTTGATAGCAGGTCGCGGCTTGAACTGGATGTTGTACTGGCTTAAGTGCATAGACCACCTCACTAACCTGCTAGACGGTCCCGAGGCCCTCAGCACGGACTCCAGGGGCTGATTTGTCAAGACGTGGACGGGATGAGCCTGAAAATAGTGATGTAGTTTCTTCGCGGTTACGTCCACTGCAAAAATGGCCTTTTCTGTGGGAGAGTACCTGAGTTCGGCTCCTCGGAGGGCTCTACTCGCATAGTAGACGGGGCGTTGTATGCCTGCATCATCCCGGACCAGCACGGAGCTGATCGCGGCCTGCGATATGCCCAAGTACAGGTATAAGGGTTCCCCTCTCTCGGGTTTGGCAAGCGGGGGTAGCGACATCAGGTAGGCCTTGAGGTCGTCGAAGGCCTTCTGGCAGTCGGGGGACCACTCGAACCCAGTACTCTTCTTGAGGACGGCAAAGAAGGGGAAGGACCTCTCGGCCGACCGTGAGAGGAACCGGCCGAGGGCCGCTAGCCTGCCGTTTAGGCGTTGGACCTCCCGGAGAGACCGTGGGGGCTCCATGTCTAGGATGGCCCTGACCTTGTCGGGGTTGGGCTCAATACCCCTCTTTGAGACCATGTAGCCCAAAAACTTCCCCCCATGCACCCCAAAAGTGCACTTATTGGGATTCAACCTTAAATCAAAACGCTGCATAATGGAAAATACCTCGACGAGGTCGTCGACGTGGTCCTCCGCCTTCGCACTTTTGACTATCATGTCGTCCACGTAGGCCTCCATGTTGCGGCCTAGGACCTATTTAAAGACCTTGGCCACCATCCGCGTGTAGGTAGCCCCGGAGTTCTTGAGCCCGAAGGCCATGACTCGATAGCAGAAGACTCCTTCGGGAGTCGTGAAGGCCGTCTTCTCCTCGTCGTCTTCGTGCATAAAGATCTGGTGGTACCCCCGAAAGGCGTCCAGGAAGCTCATGAGGGCGCAGCCTGCTGTCTCGTCTACCAGCTGATCAATATTTGGTAGTGGGAAAGGGTCCATGGGGCAGGCCTTGTTGAGGTCGGTGTAGTGCACGCACATCCTCCAGGTAGGTGGTTTTGGGGCGAGGACTACATTGGCTAGCCATCTGGGGTATAGGACCTCTCGTATGTGCCCGATTTCGATGAGGGTGTTGACCTCCTTTCTCACGAACTCCCTCCTTTCCGCGGAGAGGTATCTCTTGCGCTGTTGCACCGGCTTGATAGTGGGGTCGACGGCGAGCCTGTGGGTGATGACGTCCCTGCTGAGTCCCGGCATGTCCTCGGGTCCCCACGCGAACACCTCCCTGTAGGTTCTGATGGCGTTGATGATGCGGGACCGGAGCTCGGCGGGGAGCCCGGTTCCCACCTTCACCACGTGGTTGGGGTGGCTGAGGTCAAGAACGACGTCTTCTTTCTCCACTATAGGCTCGGCTCGCGGGCGTCCCTCCTCCTCCTTTAGCACCTTTTCAGCTATGGTGTGTACCTGGAGATCCCGTTTGCTTATCTGTCTGCATGCCCGGAGGTAGCAGCTTCGGCTGATTCTTTGGTCTCCTCGGGCGACCCCGACCCCGGTTGGTGTGGGGAATTTGAGGCACAGGTGTTCCATGGAGATCACGCATCTGAGGTCCTCCAGCGCGGGTCGGCCTAGGATTACATTGTGGGCGCAGCTGATTTTGACCACCACGAACTCTACCTCCCACCTCTTGGTGTGAGGTGGGGCGCCTATCTCGACCATGAGGTTGATTGATCCTTCTGTCTCAATGGAGTCCCCCGTGAACCCGGATAAGGGGGTCCTCACTTGCCCTAGCTGCTTCCTTGATAACCCCAACTGGGTGAATTTGTCGTGGTACATCACATTCACCGAGCTGCCTGTGTCCACCAATACTCTGTGTACGACCACCTCATTGATTTCCATCTTGACCACCAAGGCGTCTCGGTGAGGGAGGGGGCCGTCTGGGAGGTCGTCGTCGGTGAAGGTGATGGGCTCCCTCCGGGGCCTCTTCTCGTGTGGGGGTCGCACGACCTCGCCCACATAGAGGCTCCGTGCCCACTTCTTCCTCTCTGCGGGCGTGTCCCCCCCCCCCCCCCCCAGGCCCTCCAAAGATCACATGGATGGCCTGTTTCTTCTGGGGGTGGGGGTTGTCTAGTTCTCTTTCTTCCTCGTCGGTGAGCTGGCCAAGCTCCCTTTTGCGCGGCACGGGGGTGGAGGGCTCGGAGCTGCCTCCCTTCCTCCACACGCGGCCTTGATGTTGCCCTTGGCCCTGTCCAGGCCATTGCACGAACTGACCCAAATAGCCCCTCTGGATGAGCTC